CTTTCTGTCACCCAGGCTAGAATGCAGTAGCACAATCACTGCTGACTACAATCTCAAATTCCAGGGCTAAAGTGATTCTCCCACCTCAGCCTCTTGAGTAGCTGGGATTAAAGGTCCATGCCACCATGATTGGCTAATTAAAAAAACATTTTTTTTTAAGTTTTTGGCCAGGGCTGGGTTTGAACCCGCCACCTCCGGCATATGGGGCCAGCGCCCTACCCCTTTGAGCCACAGGCGCCGCCCAAGTCTATGTACTTCTTAGTGAAATGGAGAGTGTATCTCTATGCATTTCGGCAGGTTAGCAATGCTCTCTTATTTCTCTCTCTCTCTCTCTCTGCCAGTCTGTCAATTAGTTTCACTCCTTCTCTCTGAGTATCTCCCTTTCTGTCTCTCAGTTGCAAGCTGAGCTTTCCTGCCTCTGCCCTGGCCTCACCTCCTCATGGATCTTCCTCAAGAACTGAATCTCCTCCTCCAGTGATTCAATCTTCCTTTCCAGATCCAGACGGGCCAGGGTGGCTTCATCTGCCTCCTGTAGTGGGGAGGGGGCAAAGGGCCACTCTGATCCCAGACTCCTCCTCCCCCCTCCCCAGTCTTGTTCTACTCCTCCTTCTGGGGCAGGGTGGGGGAGCAGCACATTGCTCTGTAGGGCTGAACTTGGGGGCTGTTTGAGTGGGCTGCCACCAACACTTTCCCCTGCCCCTGCCCTCTACCTCTCTTACCTGTCTAAAGGCAGCCAAGTTGTTCTCTGCCTCCAGCCTCAGGTTGGTTTCATCCTGGAGCCTGGGGTGGGGGGAAATATTCCTAGGTCCAGGCTCTTCTGAGGACACTTGAACCCCTGCCCCACTCTCCCTGGAGATGGCTGTCACAGAGATTTTCCCTAACCCCTAGGACCAGTAGAGCAGCAGGAGAAATGAGGGTTCAAGGGGGCCCTAGACAGAGGCCTTCACTGGGAGGATGAGCAGACAAGGGTTTTTGCTTTAACTCATTACTGAAGTGCCTTATCAGGGCTGGTGCACCTGCTCCTGCTCACACAGGCACATCCACCAACACACATTCCTTGCTGCACATCGAGGGTACACACATGCCCTGCCAGCTCAGCAAAGCACCATGCACTCGGAGATTCCTCTGACCCCAGGTAACTACCTTCAAAATGGATTTTATTATGATCCCCACTATTATGCAAGTCAAAATGACTCTGCTGGGGTCAGAAGCTGATGACAGGCTGTCAGTCACCTGTGTTCTGCACCCAGGCCTGCCTGTGCTTTCTGCTTCTTCCTTTACCCCCAGAGTCCAGTCTGCCTCATGGAGACCAGCCTTCACTTCTGACTCCCCCTTTATACAGGTCCAGGCTCAGAGTAGGTGAGCCCCTTGCCCACAGTCACAGGCTGCCCACAGTCTCAGGGCCCAGCTATGAAAGAAAACAAGGCCATGCCTGCTGGGGTCCCAAATGCTCCCCATAGCTTTCCCCAGTGAGGAGGAGCTGAGAGGACACTAACTTCCTGACAGAAGGTGCCTCGGTCATATCCCCAAGGCCCTACACTCCTTTCTGGCCCCTCCCATCATGCTGGGGAATAAGGAGAGCCCCCCAAGGTGGGGAGACGCAGGGAGTAGGGAGGCAGAGCCCCTGTCTGAGCTTCTGCAGGCCTGAAGGCACTCCCTCTCCAGGGCTCAGTCTTCTCTGCTTACAAGGACCTTTCCCCCTCCTCACTTCTGCCTCAGGGTGCCCAGGTCCTGTGCCAAGTTGTCCCTTTCGACTTCCAGCCGGGCACTATTGGCGGTGAGTTGATCTAACCGCAGCCGGAGCTCTCGCAGCTCCGCCTGGTAGACGTCAGCCAGCTTGGTGGGCTCCTTAGACCGGAGCTGGTTCAGCTCAGCAGCCAGTGCCTTGTTTTGCTGTTCCAGGAAGCGAACCTTCTCGATGTAGCTGGCAAAGCGGTCATTGAGCTCCATCATCTCTGCTCTCTCACTGGCCCGGGTCTCCTTGAAGCCAGCATTGAGTGCCCCGGCCAGGGAGAAGTCCACCCGGGCCGGGAGTGGAGGGGGCATTCGAGCCAGGGAGAGGCGAGTGCCAGCACCCAGGCGGCGGCCAGGAGCCAGACCCCCCACCACCATCTCCGCAGAGGAGGAGAGGTAGGAGCGACGAGCAGTGGAGGTGGTGCGTCTCCTCTCCATTCTTCCTTGGCTCTGCTCACTATCCTGGGATGTGAGGGCTTTATGGAGGGGTGGGCAGGACTGGTGCCACCCGGCTGCCCCTGGTAACGCCCCCTGGCATAGCCTGAGGGGGTGGGGTTGGGCCACAGCCCAGCCATGGGGAGAGTGCCTCTCACCCTATCGAGGTCATTGTGCCCAGAGGGAAGGCTTTCTGGGCATGCCAGCCCCCACCTAAGGAGGGCAGTGCCTGGGGCCTGATGCTGGGTCTAAGGTCCTGACCACTGATCAAGCAGACCCTCACCCTAGGAAGCTGGGTAAAGAAAGGGTTGGCTGGACATACATATGTACAATGTTTTTTTTTTTTTTGCAGTTTTTTGGCTGGGGCTGGGTTTGAATCCACCACTCTTGGCATATGGGGCTGGCACCCTACTCCTTCAGCCACAGGTGCTGCCCCGTACAATTATTATGAAGCAATTAAAAATGGAAAAGGAGACAATGAAGGACAGAAGGAAGAGCTGGATCAGATGATCCCTGACTTGCCTTCCATCTCTTAGATTTTCCTGCCCAGGCATCTCTCACTCAGCACTACTCTTGTGCCTGCTAGATGCTGGGGATTTGGTGAGACAAAACTGTTCCTTACCCTCCAGAAACAGCCTATGTTATAGTTTCCTGCTGAGCCCCATTCCCAGCAGATTGCTGGAGCCTTTGCTCTGAACTCATATTTCCCACATTCCTGCTTTCTGCTGGTTCCCTGGAGTTCTGGGGTTGGAGGCTGGGACTGGACACCAGCCCTTTGTCTGAGGGTTGATCACAGCCTCTAGCTAGCAGTGGATGAGGCCAGAGGACTGTGGAGGCCCTAATATGTCAAGAGGGACAGGCTCTCCCTGGGCTGCTCTCCCTTGTCTGCCCCACCATGGCACCCTCCCTTGCCTGGCCTTTCCGCACCCCCACCCAGAGCCCAGTCCCTGACAGCTCCACAAAGCAGTTACGAATAAGCTGGCTGTGCTGGCTAGAATCTCTGTTCCTCCAACACTGTTTCCCTGGCCACCTACCCTTCACTCTCCCACTGGAGATTTATCTCCTTTGAGTTCCCACACATCAGCTTGAGAAGATGAGAAAGGACTGTGGGGGTGGGTGCGCTTGAGAACTTATGAGCCATGGCATCTGGAAGCCTGAGGCCTGGGGCCCTGTTGCCCCTTGACACAGGTCCATCCATTTCCTGTACTCTGGTCCCACAGGGTCAGAGCCCTACCCAGGCCCCTCACTCATTTGTCTCTGCCAACTTTGGGGAAGAGACAGCCCTCTTCTCCCCCAGCCACCCACTGCCCAGGCCTGGGCTTCAGATCCCTTTCCTCCCTGGGCACTTGCTGAATAGAGCCTTGTTCTCCACCGCCGGTGAGGGCGCCACACAGCAAGGGCAGCCCCCAGCGGGTGATCCTGCTTTTATCCCAAGATGCCAAGCTGTCAGACAGGGGTGCAGTGCAAGCCCCCTGCTCAATGGGTTTCTCGGAAGGCATCCGAGGGGGGCTGGGGTGCAGCGGGAAGCAGGCAGTGTGCCCACCTCTGACCATTGTGTCTGTGCCAAGGTGAGTCAGCCAGTGGGCACAAGGAGAAGGCCCTGAGGGGCAGGCAGCCAGCATTACCAGGTCTGTAAACAAAGCCTGTTGCTCACCCCTCCTCATCTCTGAGCCAGCTCAGGCCCCTGAGCCCTGGGGAGCAAGTTTCCACTCCACACCAAGCAAGGGCTGTTCTTCATTTGGGCATAGCATGCTCTGCCTGCTGAGGTTTCCTCCGTGAGTCCCAGTGGCAGGGGTAGGGGGCTGTGAAAGCCTCTGAGGCTCTAGCCATATTTGACCCTGTACCTGAACGTCTTGAGGAAGGGGTGCCCAGTGCTTTGATCCTTCTGTCAGTTGAGGATCTGGGCACAGACAGGGGGCTTTTAAGGAAGAGCAATATGAGAGATGAGCTGGGCATGATGGCTCACATGTGTAATCCTAGCACTCTGGGAGGCCAAGGTGGGTGGATCACCTATGTGAAGACTCCCAGCCTTCAGCCCCTCAGCCATTCCTCTTGGCCCCCTGTTACAAGCTCAGGTTCCATCTTTAACACGTGCCCTACGCCTCAGGCCTATCCCTACCCTCAACCTTTAACAGTCAAAAAGTGTCAGCAGGCAGGGCACAATGGCTTACTCCTGTAATCCTAGCACTCTGGGAGGGCGAGGCAGGTGGATTGCTTGAGCTCAGGAGTTTGAGACCAGCCTGAGCAAGAGCAAGACCCCATCTCTAAAAAATACCCAGCGAGGTGTTGTGGTGAGCTCCTATAGTCCCAGCTACTTGGGAGGCTGTGATAAGAGAATTGCTTGCGGTTTGGCGCTGTGGCTCAAGCGGCTAAGGTGCCAGTCCCATACACCTGAGCTGGTAGGTTCGAATCCAACCTGG